AAATCGGGGTAATTCAACGGCGGAGCCCCCATCAAAGCATTCCGGAGGGCGCGAAAAGCAGCCTCCTCCTCCGGCCCCCAATGAAACCTGACTCCCTTGGACGTCAAGGCATGCAATGGTTTCGCAATCGTAGCGAAGTCAGCCACAAACCGTCGATAATACGACACGAACCCAATGAAACTCCTGACCTCTCCCACCGAGGTGGGAGTCGGCCAGGAGCTGACGCATTCCGTTTTGGCGGGATCAGTGGATATCCCCGAGCGCCCAACAATGTGACCCAAATACCGCACCGATTCGCGGAGTAAATGGCACTTCTGCGGTTTAAATTTCAAATTGGCAGCCCGCATCTTGAGAAAAACAGCACGCAACCTCTGGAGGTGTTCCTCGAAGGATTTGCTAAAGACGATGACGTCGTCTAAGTAAATCAAACACGAATCCCATTGCAAGCCTGCCAAGACCAATTCCATTAACCGCTGAAAAGTTGCCGGCGCAGAATGTAAACCCATCGGCAAGCGGTTAAATTGGAAGAGACCTTGCGGTGTACGAAAAGCAGTCTTAGGTTTTGATTCGTCATCCAGAGGAAGCTGCCAGAATCCAGATAGCAAATCGAGGGTGGAAAAGAATCGCGCCCCCGCCAAGGCATCGAGCGACTCATCCATTCGAGGAAGCGGGTACGCATCTGCCACAGAGATTTTGTTCAGACGCCGAAAGTCGACACAAAACCGCAGTGAGCCATCGTGTTTTTTTCACCAAAACGATCGGCGCGCCCCACGGGCTGTTGGAAGGGGAAATGATATCGGCGGCTAGCATGTCATCAACAGCCGATTTGACATGATCCTTTTCGGCGGGACTCAACCGAAAGGGATTTTGGCGGATTGGCGCGCTGTCACCCGTGTCAATATGGTGTCGCAGCAATTTAGTACAACCAATATCAAATTTGTGTTGACTAAAAACGTCAGCAAATTCGCTCAGAAGAACTCGCAGCTGCGCGCGCTGCGAGTCGGACAGGTCCACTGAACCCGCGCAAAGCGCATCCAGCCATCCGTCATCACAGTCCGAATGCGGTCGCGACGGAGGATCGGTGGATACCTGACCCACGAGTGGTTCCTCATAGGGTACCGGCGTTGCGTGTGCAAGCACGGTCCCTTGAGGAACCACGGCCGTTCGCGATCCTACATTAAGGACTGCAATGAAGGGGTCCCCATCCCCTCTCACCATGGTCTGAGCCGCGAGCAAATCGGGTCCATTGACCCCGGCTCGAGATGGTCCCAACAAGACCCCCCGATCCGCAACCCCTTCATTAAACGGCCAACGCAACCTAAGAGGGACGAGCATCTGAGCCCCCGGAGGTACGCGCACAGTTTTTGTCACGAGCGCCTGCACGGTGGCAAATGCCCGACGCTCCGTGGTGGGGGAAGACAAAAATGTAACGCGTCGGCCCGATGGGAGCTCAATGCACCCCTGGTCAATCAGGATACGGATGGGCATTTTGGCCAAGAAATCCGTCCCCAACAGGCACGGAACCGCGAGTGAGGAGGAAACCAAAACAGGCCCGGATAATTTAATGTCTCCAATGCAGATAGTGGCGCGGATTTGCCCAATAATGCCCAGCGAGCCCCCGTTAGCAGCATAGCATGGCACGTCAACAGGGATCAAGGGACGACTTTGAACGGGAAGGATGTTATAAATCAAATCAGATATAATGGTCGCCGATGCCCCTGTGTCAATTAAAATCCGCACCTCTACCCCATCAATATGACCGACCACAACCGATGATCCCGCCGACGCAGCAACGACACGATGGGCGAGCTCCGACCACTGACCCGGTTGGAGCGCTCGCCGCATTACAGAACAATCGCGCGCGACGGACGGGGAATTTGGAGCTCTGTTTAGTTGAGCGCGTGAGTGTGTGTCAGATGTGTGCGTGGGCCAAACGTGTGAGGTGCCGCGACTCGCCGTATTTCTCTGCTGGAGCTTGGGAGGAGACGGCGTGGCGTCCTGACGAGGTGTCGCCCCGCGCTGACGGGGAGCCCGGCATCCTGACGCAACGTGGCCTTGCAGGCCACAGTTGTAGCAGCGTGTGAGCGCCCCAGATGTCCTGGGCTGCTCCTGGCGGCTCGGTCCATTCCGAGCCTGTGGTGCCGCCGATCTCCATTCCCCTCGCCGCTCCACCCCGCAGACCTCCTCCGATGGGAGGGCGGTGGCCGCCATGGCATGGCCGGCCGCCCCCTTTGCCGCCTTTCGACGTAGGGACCGCAAGCCCCCGTGGATGTGGCGCGCGACCAGCAGGGACGACATCTCCGCGTCGTCTTGAGCCAGGACGTTGACGTCCAGCTCATCAGCGAGTAGCAGCAGCTTCTCAGCCACCATGGCATCCACTCCTTCCTCGTCCATCCTTGGAAAAGCAGCCTTCGCCAGGGCCAGGAGAGCCGTCCGGAAGGCCAGGGGCGATTCGTTGGCGCCCCGACGCCGATCGTGGAACAGCTGCCTGCAGTCCGAAGGCGGCCCATAGACGGCTGACAGCAGCTGCAACGCCAGGTGTAGAGTGGCGCGCTTTTCCCTAGGCGCCGAGGTGAGGGTAGCCAGGGCGTCGTTGTCCAGCATCGCCGGCAGCGCGCGTAGAGCCTCGGCGTCCGTCCAGTTCGCCATCTCTTGATGAGCGATGAACCGCCTCTTGAAGCCGCCCCAGTCTCTGTCTGCGCCTACGAATTCTTTTAGAGGCGGCAGACGCTGCTGCAAGGCGACGTCCGTGGCTGCAGATCGCTCTCCGTCGCTCCCCGCCGATGATACAGTGTGGGCGGGCTGTGAGCATGGCATCGCCGGTCGCTCTGATGTTGACGCGCTGGCCGGTGTTGATGATGTCACGGCTTGTGCTTGGCGCTCAGCAGTCACGTGACGCGGGCCGGCCCCGCCCTCCGCTCGCACTGTAGTGATGGCGGGAAATTTAACCGCGAGCCGCGTCGGGGTGGCGGGAAACGTCGCCGCGCATCGGCTGCCGTCGTCGACCCGCGCTGCCCCTCCAGCCCCCAGCCGCGTGATCTCCTCCAACGCGGCGGCCGCGGCGTAGAGCAGTTCCGCCAGGCAGGAGTGGGCCAGCCGGAGTCCTTCGGCCGACGCATCCCCCCCCTCTTGTCGTAGCGGCGCGGGCGTACTCGGCCCCGGCTGCTCCGATCCGACCCCGGCCATCTCTGGTGTTGATTCGGCCGCGGCATCTTCCATCTCCGACTCCCTGGTACGTGTCGTCCCTCGTGTGTCCATCGTTGGACGTTTTACTTCTGACACCAGATGTAGTAAGTATATGGGAGGCTTGACGACAGGATCGGAGGCACACTTGTTTATTACACCAACACAGTAATTACAGGTCACTTGGCTACAGGGATTTCACGACAGCTAACCCCTCTAACCTAAGCCAATTCCTCCACTACGGGGCTAGGGGAGGCTATCTGTCCCAGCCTGGTTAAGCTGGGACCCCGGCACCCTGAGTCACCAGACCAGCTTAGTCTGGGCTCTCGGGGCCACGCCACCGGCTTGCCCTGGTCGGCCCTTATAAGGACAGCGAGCCAGGGGAGCTCTGGGGCCTATTCTAGCAGGTCTTCCTTCTTCTCTGGTTTAAGCTGAGTCCCGACCTCGAGCCCTCGAGCTCATCACCTTTTATAGGACTCGCCCCCGAGGGGGGGCCCGTGGGGGATGCACATTCGGACGTCGGTGCGAGCGCCACCCTTGTGTACGGCCGTAACCCCGCCCCTTGTGTTTGTTGGCCATCCGTAGCCATGCATAATCACACCTCAACATTCGTAGCCATGCGCAATTACACCTCTACACTAATGTAAACTGAAAATAAACGGTGGCGGTATGAATATGCACCCCTACCTCCACGTGGATAAGCCTTAATCCAAAAGCAAACTGAGGCTAATGCTAGCGGGAAAAGGAACGGCTGGGACAGGGCTATGGGGCACGCCTCACCGTTAACGCGATTTCTACTGTGTAAACGCGCTGCGAAAAGCGCGCTGTGTAAACACGCACGCGAGCGCGAGCACGTGCACACGACGGCGGCTCTGTGTGCTGCAGTCCACGCGCCTCACGCGCCTCACGCTCAAAACACTCACACCACCCCCTCGCTGCAGCCCTGTGCTCGCGCTCACGCCGGGCACACCGTCTCTCCACGCTGACGCACCACACACAGATCACAGGCACTACACCGAGGTTCTGCCCACACACACAGAAATCACACTGCACCGATATTCTGTACTAGAGTTTATTAATGGCGCCAATACGCATTACCCGGCGGATGAATATTTCGCGCGGAGAGCCTAGCGTAACTCTGCCTATGAACCCAGTTACTCACACGTCCTACCACGTACCTTGAAACTGGACTCGCGGTGTCTCACGGACGCCGAGAGAGTCGGAGGGAGAAGGACGAAAGAAGACTTGCCCAATCACTGTCTCGCAGCAGCACTCGCTAGCTGGCTAGCATCACACGGATGCTGTGAGTGGCTTGAAGCGGCAGGACGGCAGGCAGGGAGTGGGTCGTGACGGCCCGGAGGTTGTAGACAACTAACCCAATCATCCCGGGGCTCCCACCTTTATACTCTAAACTTTAAAGGCCCGGGGGGGGGGGGGGGGCGTCGCGTCGCGCAGCCAATCACGTGCCTACCTTTCAAGTGATGCCCCGCCCTCACCTGGAGCGTCCTTTATGCCTCCAACCATCGTTTTCTTAGTTTGAGCAGGGGCGGTTTCTTCATTAGGGCGATTGGACGACGCACCACCAATGTCATTCAACCACAGAGTTACGCTAGCCGTTACTGTGCCTCTGGATATAGTCCAATCAGCGTCATGTCACGTTCTGTGGAGTACCGCCTCTTTTTGGGCGATTTCACTCTGGCTGAGAATCGCCCAGAGTGTTCCCATAGACTTACATTCCAAGATGTTTTTTTTCGAACGGCGGGCGCTCCAATGCATTTTCTATGGCTTCCGGGAGGGCTCGCACTAACGCACTTACGTCATCATACGTAAGCACGTTTCAGTCAACAATATTATTTGTCGCCACCTAGTGGAATCTTTAATAAAAGAAACTGAGTGGATTGTAATAATAGTGAGTATAGAAACAAACAAGATGTATTGTAAGAGTCACTTTATTTTTCATTAATATTAAAGAAGTGAAGTTGCCTTTACATGCTTAAGCTGTTAATTTATCCATTGCATGGGTGGACCTTATCCTTATCAATCATCCAAACATTTGCCCCCCCCTGAGAGATTTTGCAGGAGCCGCCACTGAGTTTGAGCCTTCGGTTTTTCTCTTCACGCCTAATCTTCCACCCTCCATCCTCCCCCCGATGTTGTGAGTAACTCATTGCGGTTGGCCCAGGGAACCTCTGCTGTTTGCGCCCATACAATGTTAAGCCAATTTAGGGGCACCGCAATGTAACCTGTCCTGTGGGGGTCGGCCAATCTCCTGGCACCGGGAAACTGTGGGACTCTCCCCCTAGGGGCCATTTGTATTAAAACCCGTTGTGCCAGGCAACCCCCTGCCAGGACACTACGTGGGTGCGCTGCATGCGGGTGGGTGTTTAGTGCTTGGGGCGGGACGGAGTCGCGGCGCTTGCAGAGTTGCTCCACGGTCGTGGCACCACAGTTGTGTCTGTGTGTGTATCTGTGTGTTTGTGTATCTGTGTGTTTGTATATCTGTGTGTTTGTGTATCTGTGTGTTTGTGTGTCCGTGTGTTTGTGTATCTGTGTGTTTGTGTATCTGTGTGTTTGTGTATCCGTGTGTTTGTGTATCGGTGTGTTTATGTATCTGTGTGTTTATGTATCTGTGTTTGTGTATCTGTGTGTTTGTGTATCTGTGTGTTTGTGTATCTGTGTGTTTGTGTGTCCGTGTGTTTGTGTATCTGCGTGTTTATGTATATGTGCGTTTGTGTATATGTGTGTTTATGTATCTGTGTGTTTGTGTACTTGTGTGTTTACGTGTGCATGGTTTCCTTTTTAACGTGGTGGACTTTATACATTAGTGTGCGATACACCCTCGTGTGGATTACTGTACAGTGTTCGAGAAGCGTGGCGTAATGTAGTGGTTGACTGTAGTCTCTGGTCCATTGTAGCTTGTATAGCACAGCATGTAGTGCACTACAGTGTTTACAGTGCGAGTCATGTGTTGTGAGTGTGCTGCAGGCTGTGTGTGTGTGTGAGCCGTAGTGGTATGAGTGTATGTAGCTAGATTATTGCGTGTTAGGGGCTGGTAACCCCTTCTCCTGACACTATTTCTATCAAGCACCACGACGGAAACACCGAAAGGCTTATGCCAGAGACCAGGGGGACACTCCCATCTGGTAGAGCCAGACTGAACCCATCGCCCCCTCCCATCAGGGTTTCTCCAGGAGCAGGAGAACACTGCGATTGGCCACGTGGAATGTTCGGACTCTCGTTGTGGGAGAGAGGCTGCCACTGCACTGCTGGGAGATGGACCGGTAATGCCTGGACCTCTGTGGTATACAGGAGATCCGGTGGACCGGTTCTGGCTCCAGTCATCATGAGGGGTGGACACTTCTCCACTCGGGGCAGGAAACAACAGAGAGTGGCACTTCTTTTTAGCGAAAAAATTAAGGTGGTTTGGGAGTGTGGCAGTGAGGTGTGAGAATCTGTAAGTCCCAGGCTACGGTGGGCTTGCCTCCCCATCAACAAGAGGCGAGGAATGGTGGTGGTGGTTGCTTACGCCCCCACCAAAGATGAACATCAGTGGAGGGATGCAGAGAAGGCCGATGAGTCCGATGCCTTTTATAACCTGCTGTCCCAGGTGAGAGCTAAAGTGGCCCCCCAGGATAGTCATCCTGTTGGGTGACTTTAATACCCGAGCGGGTCATGAAGCAGACACCTGGGTTAGAGCGACCAGAAGGCATGGGCCAAACTAGCTCAATAATACGGTAGGAGCCTCCTAGACTTCTGTGCAATCCATGGGCTTGTAATTATGAACATGGTGTTCTGGTATCGGTGCATCCTCACAACATAGATACAAGCCGGGTCCAAGTGTAGTAGCATAGCGCTGGCTGCTGGTGAAAAGGGGGAACTGAGGTGTTCGGCAGTGCTCTATTCAGCAGGCCACGATATACACAACAGGGGGACATCTCGGGGAAAGGTCACAGAAGGGGCCCATCGGGAATCCCCGGGAACCCGATAGAAGGTTCTAGAAAGGGGGCGTGGCTGGAGCGGAGCAAGGCGGCGCTGAGAGTATAAGAGGGGCCGTGTGAGACTAGGCTCTAAGAAAAGCTGTCTCGGGTGTGGACCAATCAATTTCAAGGACAGTGCATACATTATCAGAGTTGTGTTTTTTGTTTGCATTCCGACCGCAAGTATTGTGGTCAGTTTTGTTGGCAGATAAAATGGTAACAAAAACAATTATCAATTAGCACGGCGATCGTCGTACAAACCCTCACACACGCTCCACTCTTGGGTGAAGGGATGAGGCAGCATGAACCGGGGATACACACACCTGCAGTGAAGGTCGTTTGCAGCCTCAAGGATTCCCAGCACCCAGCAGGGGTGTCTTTTTTTGAACTTACAACTGATCTCTAGAAGTATGCACTCAACAAGACGGTGGTTGTACTCGCCTCTCCGTGTGTCCAAAGTACGCAACCGCGGTGTGCTGTTCGATCAGAGCTTGACCGTGTGCTCGCCGCTCATAGCTACGTTCAGAGTAGATCTCTACCACCTACAAACACTTAGAGGGTTGTGCCCGCTCCTTTCTGCCCCTAACCTGTAATCATTAGTTCATGCCTTTGTCTCAACACGCCTGGATTATGATGCAGAGCTTCCACTTGGATTGGTGCAGAGGCTCCAGTTCAGAATGCAGCTGCCCGGATGATCCGGCGGGTTAGCCGCTTTGAACACATTACGCCCTGCGCAGCTTGCAGCGGCTACCGGTCCGCTTCCGTGACGACAAACCCAGGAACCATGGTGGGGGGGGGGGGGGACCGGGCAGAGTGGGCTGTCGGTGTTGTCTGTGGGAGTCGTCGTTTCGTCGAATTGGACGCCGGACAGGTGGCCCTGGGTAGACGACACGTGGACACGACTGTGAGTTGGGTGTACAGACGCTGTCTCCACCCTTGCAATTTTGGGAGTTTGTTCGGGACGCTGTTTTTTTCCGGTTCCGTCTGTAACACGGTGGTGGTTGTTGTTTTCTTTTTTGCGCTAATTTATTTTCGCTTCGTTATTGTTCCCTGTGCGCACGTTGTCATTTTTGTTATTTTGGAGACCCCCCCCCAGCCCCAGGTCACTCTTGCAAATGAGACTCCTGTCCTGGTCTTTCGAGTTCTACACCCGGTTACAGACGATACACTTGAACTCACTCACTCAATCATTTACTCACTCAACCTACCCTCTCGCTTACTAACTTAACCAATTACCCATTTAGCCACTCACTCACCAACCATCTCACTCACCCATGCACTCAATCGTTCACTCACTAATCTACTCACTCAAGCACTCAATCATTTACCCACTTGCCCTCTCACTAACTCAAACACTCCACCAATCCACTCACCCATGCACTCACTCACCCACCAACCATCTCCCAAGTCTACTCACCCACCATCTCACCCAATCAACCATGCACTCACTCAATCATTCAGTCACCCACCATCTCCCTCTCCTCCATTTCTTGGGTTTCTGTCTCGGTTTTTTGGGTTTCTGTCTCTCCCCATCCTCAGGATGCACAACTCAGATCCACGATCTTCAATCGATCATTACAATACAACACCCACATCCCAGGGTAGAGAGGCTGCGAGAATCTCTGCCGAACCTCGTGGATCACCTCCATGGAGTCGGCGCGGTAAAACGCCAGGAGCCCCCCCTCCCAGTGCAGGTGAAGCCCGATTCTGCGGGGGGAGGGGGCCCCCCTCACCGACTGTGCAGTCTTCACTCCACCATGAACCACTGAGAAGTTGTCATCACATTTCTCTAAACACCAGGATGCGTCGCTCCCTCCCAGCAGCCGTGCAGCACGTTCCCCTTTCCGTGGGATTGTCCCGTACGCGACTCCAACCCGACACCACCGCGCGTCCCCCACGTCCACCTCCCAGTAGTGGTGGCCCGACGAGAAGCTCTCACAGCACAGGGCTTGTGACCAGTAATCAAACCGGTGTGGGTGATCGGGGCGACCCTGGGAGGCAAGGACTGCTGTCATCGTCCTGAGATCCGAGGACATCTGGAGTTGGTTATGAGCAGAGGTTGTTTCCAGAGTCGGTGAGCATCCATCTGTGATAAGAGTGATCGCAACATCACTACAAAACAACATCATCACCATTATCCACCATCACCACCATCAACATTACCATCACCAACCATCATTTCACCATCAACAATAACATCACAAACATCACCATCACCAACCATCCTCGCCATCAATAGCATCGATGACAACAACATATACATCACCATCAACACTATGAACATCAGCAACATCACTATCACCATCAGCAACATCACAACCATCATCATCACCACCACTAGCATCATCACTACCATACCATCACTACCATACCATCACCTCGACCATCACCACTATCCCCATTACCACCATCCCTAACATCTTCATCACCATCACCCACGCGAAAAGCATCATAACCATCACGACCATCACTACCATTATGACCAAAGCCAATATCATCACGAATATTATCAGCGCCATCAGCAAAACCATCACCTATATTATCACCAATGTCACCATCATTACGATCACCACGACCAACACCATCACTCACCAAATTCGTCACCATTCCCATCCCTCACATTATCACCAATATCAGCATCATTACCAACAACAATAACCGCCATTCGCCACTAAGTGGCGGTGACGTCACAACGGCGCTTTGAACGTTGAGGCCACGTGAAGTGTAGAACACCCACTGGCAGGAGGTCAGGGGCAAACCCAGGTGCCATGGGTCGACTGAGATGACTGGCCGATAACATCACAAACATCATCATCAAACATTCTCGCCATCAATATCATCGATGACAACAACATAAACAACCACCATCATCAACACTATGAACATCAACATCATGATGTAAACAAAGAAATATCCTAATTGGTTTTTTACCCTTCTATCTGGCAACAAAACTGACACCTTTTTTACAAGGAGTCATGTTTGCATAGACCACAATACCTGCAGCCGTAATGCAAACAAAAAACATAACTCTGATAATGATATGCACTGTCCTTGAAGTTGATTGGTCCAAACCCGAGACAGCTTTCTTAGAGCCTAGTCTCACATGGTGTTGGACCAGATGACGCCAAAAGGCGCAATATCCCCCGCCTAGCCTTTACAGACTGTTGGGGCAAATCAGCGCCGTTGAAGGCTGGCACGACACACGAGGGGGTGGGTGGCCAGCACTATGCATGGCCGACTTTGTCTACCTCGTGGTGATGTTTACACAGCACCACGTAATTATTTGAGGGTGAGTTGACCTCGAGCACAAACACGGAGTTCATCTGTTGTCAAGATGGCCCCCATCACCCATGATTCACACTGAATAACTCACACATGAACTTGACAGTAGTTGTCTCCAGGACTTTAAGTGAGGCAATGGCCTCTTGGCTGGGAGCTGAGGGTTGAGCTGTTCTAACCCTCCCTGTCCTGTGAAAACAGAGCAGACACAGCCACTTTCTCACAAATAACATAATTGTTTTTGTCCCCGGATAGTAAGTGTTATTTCCTAATTGCTTATGCCTCAAAAGTACAGAAAATGGCTACTCCCACAAACTTTGCTTTTGTGACCAGGACATTGATATTTTGAAATTTACCTATTTTCCAAAACATTCCAAATAGATTCAGTACTGAGTAACTTCTAGAACATACTGGAACTTTCCAGTAAAACAAATGGTATAAATACAAGGACCTTAAGCCCACCAGTTCAGTTTAGTTCCAGCTGCCTAAGTGGATACATATCTGCATTTTTCTGAGATGGCATCAAGAGGCTGCAAGCATCCGGCAGACGCATTTTGCTATGTCTGCGGCCAATTTATTAAGACAAGAGCGAAAAAGTACCCTGTGGAAGCATCTGCTAAGATATGTGAGGCCTACAAGGCATATTTCAGCATGCCTGTCGAGGATCAAGACAAACCCTGGGCACCTAATTTCACCTGCGAACAATGCAAAAACGTTTCTGGAAGGTAAGATGGAAAATTGTTGCTCGGAATTTAATGTTATAAAATTTGTTAAGATTTTTCAAATTGATTCGTCATAGTGATTTACAGTATAATCGTAAATCTCGAAAAACTACTCACTTCCAAATATTTTGTAGTCATTCTTGTATTACTTTAGGATAAATATATGTAAATTTGGATTAATATGTTGTTTTTTTCTGACTTTATGTGAACGAAAAGACACAAATTCGGCCCGTTTTCTCATTGAAAATAGGTCAATTTCTAAATATCATTGTCCTGGTCACAAAAACAATGTTTGTGGGGAATAATAGCCATTTTCTATACTTTATAAGCATAAACAATTACTAAATAACACTTACTACCCAGGGACAAAAATTGTGTTACACAGGATCATCACAAAGCATCACCACTCACATTTCACATCATCACCACATAGCATCATCATAATCAGCACCACCACTCACAGCTTCACCACAGACAGCATCATCACACACACAGCATCCCCACAAACAGCCAGTGTCTCACTGCCCGCGCCTCACACTCAGTCCCATGTTGTCGTGTGTCGAATCGTGAGTGATCGTCGTCTGTACCTGCGCGTCTCCTCCAGGTAACCCTGTGGGAGATATAGAGAGCGGTGCATTACTGTATCTCTGCTTTTATTCCTATGGGATCAGTGGAGTTCCCACTGCAACACCGCAGGTGGAATTTACACTACAAAGTCTTGGCTTATGACCTCGTGATTGGGGACAATGCCACGCAAGGACTGGGCGGAAGCTCAGGCCGTGCGTGACAAAGCGCAGTCGATGTGAAAACCTCATTCAGGAGCCTCAACTTTGACGCTGCCGATGGCTCTGTACAAATTTGCGACACAGGAGACTCATCGCTCACCTGCAGGAATGTGAGCGAGTCCCTCTCCTGCGTTAGGGCCTGCAGGCGAGTGGCTGCTGCCTGGAGCTCCCCAATCTCGCGCTGGTAGTGAGCGATGTTCTTCTCGATCTGGGTCAGCAGCTCGCGCTCCTTCTTGGCCGCACGAGCCAGAGCTGCCTTCTCGTCCTCGTCCAGAGCTGCTCTTATGCGGGCGAACTCGCCATTGACTCGCTGCCTCACCTCGGTCATCGATCTCTGCCAGGGCGTGTGGTTTGTTTGTATTAAATAATTAACGGAGTTAATCTCGCAACAGTTGATCTATGTCTTAGGGAGGTGGCGTTTACAACACTCTTCCTGAATCATAAATATAAAAGCGACTGTGGCCATACAATGCAAACTATGGGCAATAAAGTAAACCTATAGAGACCCATAGATATACCTCGCGATCCGTAGAGACACATAGAGACTCAGATATAGAGACCCATAGAGAAACAGAGACACATGGAGACAAATAGAGACACATAGAGACCCATTTGAGTCAATCCAGGACAGTGTGACTGTGGTCTTACAACCCAAACTATGGACTGTATACTAAACCCATGGAGACACTCAGAGATACACAGAGACCCATCGAGACCTATAAAGATGCATTAACGTCAATCCACACTCTTGCCACTGTGGCCATGCAACCCATACTATGGGAGACGATTTGACCTGTAACCCAGGTGACCTGATGGAGGATGAACAACGTCCTGTGAATCACGGCCATGGTAGCCAATAAACAATACAATTGTCAATCTTGATTTGCCATCTTTCATAACCCTGCAAATAACACAGGACTCAATCGCAAATAGTACATCACAAATATGAGAAAAATAAGGAATTTAAATTGTAATTAAATATGAACACCATCTTTTCGTAGAGTTGCGCAAGGTGTGTGTAATGCGAGAAGAGTGACAAAGCTAAAGGTCATCATTGAAGCTGCCTGATCAGCAACGCTTCCAAGCTGTATTCCTACCATAAAACAAGCCCAGCTGGGACTGGACATGAGAGCTGGGTTTCGTGACTGGGCAGTGATATGATCCATACTCTTAGGGGCTAACAGAGGGACGGGGTACTCGTGGTCGAGGTCAAGGACGTGTTTATGCGCAAGTCACTGTGGATGTACATAATAGGAAAGGAAAGAAAATGCCCATGTTTATACCAATGTTGGCTGACAATAAAGAGAGTACTGTTAAACGTTAGGGATGTTAACACTCGGTAAAGTACCGCCCCCCCCCTCCCGATACTTTCCATTCATTGGCTACCACATTCTGAAAAGCCCCCCCCCCCTCCTCCCTTAACTGGTACTTAAGAGCTTACATCTTGAATCCCTCCCTCACTTGATGCAGCTAATCTGGCTGTGACGGTCCCACCTGATGATGGAGACTTGTGTTGCCTCTGAAACGTCGTGATTTTTATTATTTTATTTTTATTAAATTTTAATTTAATTTTTTTACCTACGTGACTTTACCGAAAGAACTAAGAGTATGAATCCTTGCAGTCACGAAAGCTTCAAATCTAGAATTAAGTGATAAGATCGGTGCACCGGTGAGAACTGGACATGCAACTTGGTGACCTTACCTCGAAATGTCTCTGTGCTTTGTCGGATACTCTTTCTAAATTCAAATGAACATTAATGCTCACATAGCACATTGCAATATATTGAATGGGAGTGTACTATGTGAATAGGATACGTGATTATGCACATTGTATAAAGCACACTGCGTGCATTCAGTGTATTGCGTTGTTGTGGCTTGACAGATATTACTCGCTACTGATGTTTGTAATCGCAGGGAGTTGATCTCAGGTGACTTGCACAAAGCGATACATATTGTAAACATATATAATATGAACCCTGCCACCAATGTACTGGATAACAGGTATGTGCCACCTCATCTGGCCAGAATAGATAGATTTATAACAGAAGATTAATTGTCAGTTCACTTGGGGATATTGGTCCCCCATCTGAAAAATGTGGAATTTCCACCACTGATTCAGTTCCTTATTGGAGATGAGAACCACTTATTTGCTTGTCCTGGGTATTGAGGCGTTTTGACCGTTGTGTCTTTAGTCCCACGATGTGTTCAGAGTCAATGGAAGTCCACGTGAATGAATGGAGTTGTCCTCCATCACAAACCCTACTCAGAGTGGAGTCACGGGGTCACAGAGTCTGGCCCAGACACGGTACCTGCACGTCCCTGCGAGCGGCCTCCATCCGCCTCACAGACTCCTTCGCCATCCTCCTCTTCTTCTCCACCGCCCGCGTGTCCTCTCCCACTTGTTTCTGTGAGAGACGTCACCAGGGGAGACTCCGCTCACTCTCTGAGCGCCCCCTCTCACCCCTGCTCCACACGGACCCCTCCACAGTGACGGTTCCATCTCCAGGCTGCAGCGACCCCTGTGCAGCAATGGAGGCTGGGGGAGCGAGCGCTGCAGGGAACCGATTTCACGAGGAGCTCACACGCCTCCTGGAGCATTTTGTCTTTAGTTGTCATTCCGTCGCACCTCCGATAAGCACGGTTGGCCACGTTTGGTGCAAAATAAGTTCAGCATACATATAGCTGGGCTCAGATAGCACGCGCAGGAGCGTAAGCCTGTGGACCCAATCACTCTACACTGTTACCTGAGTCGTAGGCGGGGCTACCTGAGCAGTGGGTGAGGCTACCTGAGCAATGGGTGGGGCTCTGAGTAGTGAGTGGAAAAGGCGCCGCGAGATGTTAATCTGCCTTGCCTGGTATACAGGAGGTCATGGTTTCGATCCCACCCTGACACCTGAATGTTTGGAGTTTGTTTTCCCCATGGTCGCATGGATTTTTGTCCACGTCCTCCGGTTTTCCCTCTACATTTAAAACGTGCGTTTAGAGAATTTGGCTGCTAAGAATTTCGACTTGATAAGCCACTTCTTTGAGCTGTCATTTGTGGCCATGTTTGCCTCTGCAAAATTGCTACATAGCTCGGTGAGCTTCACTTGGTAAAATAAAACAAGTTTTAGTTTAGTGTTAATCAAGAGTGCCATGTCACTGTTGAGTGTCGGAGAAATTTGATAGAGAGAATCTTGATGAAAATATAAGTATGGTCACGAATTACTTGGTCTGTAGAGTGCGGCGCTAAACTGGGACAGAATGGCACGAGGCTAGCAAGTGGTGAGCACTGCGGCTCACGCAGTTCCAGTCGTTTTACATTTCGTTTATATTTTAGTGAATGCTCCTCTTTAGACTGCTTTTGTATTCGAACCATGGTCTATGCACTCACGTCATTTTGAGAACACATTCTACGCACGTAAGTCCTTCAGTTTTATTAAAATATACGAAGAGCACGTTTAAATATTTGTCATATAACAGGATTGATCATAACATGTGTTTGTATTATTTCTGCACTATGATAACCTCAGCATACTTTATATTAAACCAACGTTGTTAATTTTTTAAGAAACAAGGGGCAGCTGAGAAAGGAATGATATAATATTTAGTTGGATATCATTGTTCAGATCGTACTGGGAAATTATGACTTCACGCAGGAGAGGATCCCTCTCACACACTCAGACCGTCTCACCTCCCGTGTCTTGTGCTCATCCTCCAGCGTCGCCACATCGTGACCCTTGTGGTCTCCTGCGATGATGCAGGTTGTGCAGACCAAGCTCTTTTCCTGTCGGCAGTAAAACTTGATCTTCTTTCTGTGTTTCTTGCACTTGCGTTCTTCAGCATTCGTGGCTGGAGCCACCAGAATGTGGTCTCTGAACTTCGCGTTCTCCTGATGATGCTTTACATGAGTCACACAGTAGGAGGTATCACACCTGAGGCAGGTCTTCAAGGCAGCAGTCGTGCCATCGTTACAGAAGTCACACAAGACCACGGTGGCCATTTTCTCTGCAGCACTGCGCTGCTCCACCAGGTTGGCGAGCGTGAAGTTCTTGTTCAGCTGGGGCCTCTGAGGGAAGGTCACTCGGCACTGGGGGCAGGAGAAGGACTTGGCCACATCCCAGGCGCCCTCCACGCACTTGAGGCAGAACGAGTGGCCGCAGCTGAGCGTGCAGGGGCAGCGGAACGCGTCCAGGCAGATGGGGCAGGTCAACTCCCCTGGAGCCTCGTGACCACTGGGAGCTGTTCTCGCCATGGTCCTGTGGCTCCACTCAGATGGGCACTGGCTGAAGCTCAGGCAGTGTCTGGCTGTAGCTCAGGCAGTGTCTGGCTGTAGCTCTTGACAGTCTCTGTATCTCAGGCAGTCTGTCTGTATATCAGGCAGTATCTGTCTGTATCTCAGGCAGTCTCTGTCTGTATCTCAGGCAGTATCTGGCTGCGTCTCAGACGCTGAACGAGGAACAAGCCACGTTAATAGGTGACAAGCAAGACGTCTTTCAGTTTGATTGGCATGTCACGATGCGTGCCCTGGAATGTGTTGACGTGTGAGCGAGTACAGACGTCTCCACTCCAGGGGTGGCTTAATAAGACTCGGATCACCTCGTCTCAAATCCTCATCCTCACACACCTCATCGTAACTCAACTCCCCTCACCTCAACTAATGTCACCTCACCTCAACTCACCTCTATTGGACATTGTGTGTGCAATGGATAATCTTTAATGGCTTCGAAAAGAAGTCTAAACAAACTAGCATCATAGTATACACTGATGCATCTTCACAGCAGTGGTTCTCAACCCTGGTGCTGGCAGCCACAGTCTAGCATGTTTTATAGGTCTCCCAAAATGACCAATACCTTCTGAACCAAGAAGAGAAATTAAAATGGTCCAATTAACACAATAATTAGTTAAATTAGGTAGTTAAGCCCACCAGGAACAAAACTTTGCAACCCGTTAAAATCACACTTTGCTAAACTGTAGGCTACTTACTAACGTTTTGTTGAAGTCCTGGCCTTTGTCCAATTGTTTTTTTTTCAGTCCAGTCGATGATAATTGAAGTATATGTGTTTTATATGCCTTTACATTTCATCACACAGCAAGAGAGAGTCTTACCAGCAAAAACCGAGGAAGAGAAATATGGCAGAGTGTTGAAGACTAAGTAACTCTCAATCTCTTTCCCGCCTTCTTCTCGAGCTATCCCACAATGCACTACTCCGGAATATAACGGATATTCCGTTTAATTTTTTATTACAGTAATTTTTCCATGACCAAATACAGTATTTTCTCACGAAAAATTACGGATATATTTTTACAGTGCAGGCAGTGACTGTATCTCAGGCAGTGACTGTATCTCAGGCAGTGACTGTATCTTAGGCAGTATCTGTCTGTTTCTCAGACAGTCTCTGGCTATAGCTCAGGCAGTCTCTGTCTGTATCTCAGGCAGTCTCTGGCTGCGTCTCAGACGCTAAACGAGGAACAAGCCACGTTAATAGGTGACAAGTAGGAAGTCTTGCAGTTTGATTTGCATGTCACGAGGCGTGCCGTGGAATGTGTTGACGTGTGAGAGAGTACAGACGTCTCCACTCCAGGGATGGCTTAATAAGACTCGGATCACCTCGTCTCAAATCCTCATCCTCACTCACCTCATCGTAACTCAACTCCCCTCACCTCAACTCACGTCACCTCAACTCACCTCAACTCACCTCATTGCAACTCACCTCATCTCAACTCACCTCACCGGTGAGAGTTGCTCGTGTTTAACTGAGTCACGGGTCTGTGGCTCAAAGTCCGAGCGAGGCCCTTTGCTGAACCCAGCACCGTTACCCGCTCATGTGGGCGAGGGGCAGGTGCCCCACCAGGCGGACCGGCCGTAACACATCAACATCACCGCATACCTTGGATCACGATCGCAGGCATGCAAATTGTGAGGGTTCCTCATAAGTAGTACTAATCACATACCTGCATTTCCCATATCCCCTCCCTTTGATGCTGCTAATCCTGCATAATGCACGGGCATAAGTAGTACAAATCACATACCTGCATTTCCCATATCCCCTCCCTTTGATGCTGCTAATCCTGCATAATGCACGGGCATAAGTAGTACTAATCACATACCTGCATTTCCCATAAATATGCTAAATTCCTCTTGATATGCAAATTTCTTTTGTCAAGGCACCCTTTCCCCCCCTTCCAACCCAGCTTATATATATGCTCCAAGCACGTGTGCTGTTTCATTCAGACGCAGTCGCCTCGACAGACCTGGTTTTCACCTGAGGACAGCTGCTTGCGTTGTGGCCGAAACGTCGTGAGAATTATTTTATTATGTTTTCTTTTTATTATTTTATTACTTCCCTTCTACGTGACTTTACCGAAAGAACCAAGAAGATGAATCCCTGCAGTCACGAAAGATTTAAATATGAAATACCCGTTAAAGGTTTAATTTGTTCTGATAGCTTCGAAAGTTACCCTTTATTCACCCAAAAACGTACAGGGGAATGTGCTCAATGGAGACCCGTTGTTAAGCGATTAGTCGTTAACAGAGGTGATCGTTGGGGAGGGGTTCTGCACTACACTAGTATACACTACACTACTATACACTACACTATTATACACTACACTACTATACACTACACTATTATACACTACACTACTATACACTACACCATACACTACTATACACATTACTATACACTACACTACTATACACTGCACTAGTGTAGTGACGTGGAATCGGTCACGTAGCAGCATAGCGCTGTCTGCTGACAGGGAAAGTGATCTGCAGCTCACAGCAGCCCTGACTGACAGCAAGTCACGTGATAGACCAGAGAGGGATCTAGGGGAAGGTTACGAAAGGGCACATCGAGAATCCGTTAGTAGGTTCCAGAAGGGGGCGTGGACAGGGGCGGAGCCAGGCCACACTGGCAGTATAAGAGGGGCTCCGGGAGGGTACCTCGGGGCTGTCGTTTGTAGTGGGATCTCGTCATGCTGCTGGAGTCTTCACCATCGTCTCCGTCTTCACCATCTCGGCGTCACCAGTCAGGCAGTCTATCAGCTGTCCTGACTGGGAACCGTAGTTACCAAGTGTTAACTGTTATGGCCGTGTAAATAAAGTGCCTCCTACTCTTAGTGTTTATGAGTCAGTCACTACACATAAATCCACAGATGACGATCCCTCTGTATAGTCCACAACAGACTATGAGCACCTAACTTTACACAAACTCACTTTTACACGTACTCCCCACCACCTCACACAGCACCACCACACACTACTGGCGGTGCCGTCGCGAGGGAGCAAACACCAATACCGATGGCCAGTGTCGCTTCTCGCAGAACGAAGTGAACCTGAACCAGCGCAGCCCTGAAGTGAGGGCGGGAGGGGCATCAGCGGGTGCTCGTGTGAAGCTGTCAGCTGCACGCCAAATGCGAAAGCAAGGAGAGAAAACGGAGCAGTGGAAAGAGCCTGATCTGCCGCCCGTGAGGAAGAGGAAAGCGCCATCGAATGTGCCGTGTGTTTAATACACACACACATCGACCAGCACCCGCTGAGGACAGACAAGACATCCAGCAGCGGAGGAGCTGCGCGCTATCCGACGACGAAATCATCGCGCACCACAACGGCGAGCGTCATGCCGACTCGTCATCTAGCTGTGGACAAACAGCTGCAACGGCCATAGAGCACAAAGGTGCCAGCCACCAGCGCACAAGCGAACGAGCGTAGCCAGCCGCCAGCGCACGAGTTCACGAGCAGCACCACCCGGGCGCCACCGAGCGTCAAGTGACCGAGCCTCTTCAAGGACATCATGCCAACGCCGCTCAATCTAGCTGCGGAGAGAGAAAGCCGGCGTGGCTCGCTACTATACCCCCCCCCCCCCCGCAAGCTCACAACACAACTCCCGGCTCTTAGAAGAAAACTAAATAAATAATTTGCCAAGGGGACAACGCACACACAACACACACATCGGGACGAATAAGACTATTCAAAAAAGTTATCTTGGTGTTTCGAAAAGGGTTGCCAATTCAAGGTGGTGCGTTCAATATCAACTGATCGTGCAAAACAGTTGCTGCCCGTCGAGTTACATGAATACGGTTGTTAGAAGTGTTTTAGTCATTCATTTTCGTTAATTACATAATCTTGCCGATGAATCTATTGACGTATACTTTTGCCCTCGGGATATAATAATTTGCTTATTGCCTTTCGTATGACTTTCGTTGCATGCCTGTTTTAAGACCCTACCTGTCGCCGGATGTGCTCGTTACGCGGTGGAATTAATGATGTGTGCAGTTGCCAAAGTGAAACAACGCAAGCCTTGATGGTTAAGAGTGCTGCACACTGAGAGAAATCTCCCCGATGGTACTGTGGATAATTCCGAGCATGAGAGTTCGCACATTAAAGTGTCATATGTTTGTTTAGAATTAAAATTGCTTAACACAAAAGTGGTTGAGTGTTTCGTTCCTAAGTTTATGCATAACCATCTTAATTATAAGAACTGTATCCTGTGTTGAGATATTAATTTGGAGACCTAACATAACATAAACACACTAAGATAATCAATAAATGTTTAATCAAAGATAATCGTTTTATCCCGATTGATACAACTCTGGATAACGAAGCTAAGCCTAATTATCATAACTGCCCACATTAACATAAGCGCAAGCATTCGCATGCATTAATACGATTATCTACATGGTTATCATAATTTATGCATATAATTACATAAATTAGCATAATTTCCGCGATTACACATTTTCCCAATTTTTATCAAAATTTCAAAACCCGGCAAATATACAACAGCGCCTACACACACACGCGTGACGTCACTACCTGGGGGAGCGTCACTATATCGCGCGGGTCCATACGCACATGACGTCACTACGTCTGCATGCGGGAATGACATCACGGCCGGACCGGGGGGTCTGGAGGCCGTGGGTCAGGGCCGCGGGGGTTGTGTGAGGCCGTGGCACTCTGGATGAACCCGGCTGGATACGTGACCGGATCAAGGTGGGGGCCTGGGGGCACCCTGGGGCCACGTGGTCAGAAGAATAGCCTTCTCGAGAGTTCTCGAAGGTGGGCGTGGCCGGGGTGTGCGCCCGGACACGCCGAGGCGCATATAAGCGGCCTCCTCACTATACACTACACTATACACTACACTATACACTACACTATACACTACAGGGATGCAGTAACTCGCTGACCCCGTGACCCCGACTGGACTCCACCTGCAGTCTAAAACACGTTCCTTCGGAGTTGGCAGGTAGGAACTTGGTTGGACAGCGCATTCGTGCGGCGGAAGCTGTGTGGGGCGGCGCGTCACGTGCTGCTGAGCCCGCCCGAAGCGCTCTATGAAATACAAATCGAGGGCGTGGCTATGCACGACAGATAGACAGACAAATAATCCCTGGTGGGCAGTGTGGAACTGTTGTTCCTACCTATATTAACTTTTCAGTTGAGGCATTGGTGCATCTTGCATTAACAGGTTTTGTGAGCTTTTTAATACTGAA